CCCCATCATGTATCAAAAACTCTTAAATATTAAGAAGTTTCCAGTTCTTTGTTGCCCTTCTGAATTTACTCTTTATTTTATTCTATTATTTTCTTTTCCTCTTTCTAAAGAATAAGAAATCTGTCTTAGCTGCTGTCTGATTTTATGTTATTAGAGGTGGATGTGAAGACATTGAGTTCTGGTGCTGAGACAGATAGTTTAGATAGATAGATAGTTTTTTATCCTTAGCCATAAAAAATGCTTAAAGAACTGTGAGCTGATGTCCTTAGGACTATTGTCTTTCAAAATATTCAGTGCTGGCTTGATGCAGATAACAGGAGGAGATATTTCTGCCTTCCCCACATGTTTTTGTAGCTGTCTTTTTTCCTTCAACTTTTATAAACTACTGACATTTAACATACTAATTACACAGTAAATGTTTTCCACAATTGTGATATAGTGAAGTAAGGGGGTTCAGATTTTTCCCCAGTAAAGCATGTAAACATAGTTTCTATTTTTTCCTTGGAGGATGGACATATCAGAGCAGCCTGTGGTGAAAATTGATGCATTTTTGTTCACTGTGGCAGCATATTCAAAGAATTTCCATACCAATCCTGTTATTCTGTATTTGAAATTAAAATTAAGGTATGAAAACAGACCTTAGAACAACATCTTATACCATACCACAGAATCTGACTGCTTTTATCAGTTTTAGACATTTTCAGTCTGGCATCGTAAAATATTCTTATTGAAGTAAAGGGAGCCACTCCCTCAATTACAGTGGAAAATTTCTGGGTATTTTTGAGTTGTTTTTGAAGAACTTTATATAGGAGAGTTAATCATGTTTATGCTCAGAAGGAGAACCAGTGCCACAAAGTCTCTGAGGGAAATTTGCCTTCTTTAGGAGAAAATGTCAGAAGAGGGAGCACAAAGAGAAAAAAATCAGGAAAAACCAGGACAAACTCTTTCAAACAAGTTCCTCATTAATCACAGTAATTTTAAAAGTCAGATGAAGGTAACACCCGATTGATAAATTTGTTTTATTCTACATCTTGTTCAGAGCTCAATTGCAAGCAAAGATGACTTGGCAGTCATCATTCTGCTTGCACTCAAGAACTTTCTTTGTCTGAAAATTTTGAGGGGAGACTTTTTGGCAAAAAGCTTCACTTAAATGAGCAAATTTCTCAATTTATTAGTTCAGTAATGTTTTTTGAACATGGTGCTGATGTTACGCCTGTGTCTGGAGCAATTTAACAGCCTCTGGTCCAGACAATGTCATTTTAATGTGGAAGAGTTTATGTAGCACCTGCTCCATCTTCTGTCTGGTCTAAAAAATGGATTATTCCTTCTATCTCGGCTATAAGATCAATCATCTTAAAAGATGGAAGGAATAATGGCAACAGTTTTATAAGTCCTTGCCATTTTCTTGGCTGTAAATTAAGGGGGTTTTTTTGTGAGAAAATAGTGGAAATACTGTGAGGATGCAGTGAACCTGTTTCTTCATCCAAACCAGGAGCCAGGGATGTACAGACTGCCTTTGGAATTGCCCATTTCCAAGCCAGCATCCTGCACAAATGAGCTCACAAGGGACAGGCTCAAATCCAAACAAGCCCTAATGATGAGGGTCTGTGAGGAGCACTGGCTCTTTGGAGAGGCTGAGATGACCCATAATATTGATTGATTCGGGGAAAAAATGGACAGAGGAATTTTAAGCAGGCTGTTTTCAAGGAGAAGGAAGGGTGTAGCTATGGTGCTTAATAGGAATAACTTATTTCCCAGAAGAAGTTGACAGGCATGAGATCCCATTTATGCAATTGTAAAATGGAAGAGTGCTCCTGGGACACAGGTGTGCATTGAGCCTGGCTCCCCTGCAGGAATTTAACAAAGGAGAGTTAAATGTCCAGAATAGCATGAGAAAATTGGAAATGTGTTTGATAAATGCTCTCCAAAAAAGGTTTTTCAGTTTGAGGATCACTAAGAGCTTTCTCAAAGGGGGCATCAAAGAGTTGTGGCCATCCTGCCCAAAGCAGCTGTGTAGACAACTCCCCCCCCTTCCTCTCTCTCGCTGGTATAATAGCCCAGAGAAGTTAACTCACAGTTAGTTAGGACACAGTCTGCCCAGAGAATACTCTGTCCCTGGAAGTGTTCAAGGCCAGGCTGGATGGGGCTTGAAGGAACCTGGTGCAGTGGGAATTATCCCTGCCCATGGCAGGGGGCTTGGAATGAGATGAACTTTAAAGTCCTTTCCAAGCCAAAGCTATCTGTGAGCCTTGGATAATGGGTTTGGAAATGGGTGGCCTGAGGCTTCCAGAGCAGGAATCCATGCATATTCCACCGTGGGCCGTGCACCAAATGTATCCCAAATATGTGTGTGGGAATTTGGTCTTTCACAGTGAGGGTCCCAAGTGAGAGAAGTTCATTTTCATGCCATTTTGGCTTTTCAGCCCCCTCTGGGTTTGCTGACAGTTCAGGCTCCCCTGACAGCCGCTGGTGCAGCCCAGCTCCGGGTAACTCCCGCGGTTCCTCTGGAGCCTGAGAGATCAGGCTTGGCAAGGAGAAGTCTTCTCAAGCCCCCTGCACATGGTGCTGAAGTTTGCTGAAGGTGGTTGAGTGAGCTACTTCAGGGAAGAAGAGTCTCCTCAAAAGATGGGAAACAAGCCAGAATATACCAAGATGAATATGGCCATCTCTCAGGGGCATTTGTGGGGGAAAACCAGGATCTCTGACTGCTTTCACAGCCTGTGGTTGAAGGGAGTAGCTCAAAGCATGATAATGGATGCACACAAGATTTTGCTACAAAATAAGCTTCCCAACCATGTGAAACAACTTAAGAAAGAACTCAGGAGATGCAATTCTGTTTTCCCTTGGCCATACCCAGGAATGAGAAGATGACTTTGCTTTTTTTTTTTGTCTGTAGCACAGCTCTTTGCTTTTCCTTCTGCCTTATCAGCTACCAAAGCTGGTTTATGCAGCATTTCTCATTGCATTAGAGTTTTCCTCTTCTAAAAGATGATGCAGGGAGCAGAACTGACAGGAGTTGTCTGTGCTCTGGTCTGAATTATTTGCTGCATTTGGCATGTCTGTCCCTTAGCTCTGCCTGTGTTATCTGAAGCATTACAGCTTTAAATTCTTACAATTTGTATAATCTGTTTATTTAATATTTGTAATTTCTTGCTCTTCTTCTCACCATGGGTAAAATAACCCAAGAACTAGACAGTTCATTTGACAAATAGTGAAGTGCTATTTTTTTTTCTCCCAAAAGGGGTTTTAATTTGATTCACTGTATTTTCTCTTTTCCTTCTACCCTCAGAGGTTACTCTCTGTTAAGATAATCAAGATAGCTAACCAGAGAGATTGATTCCTAACAGGCATAGCTGACTGGAAACTTAAGTAGCTAACACACACATGCCAGAAGAAGTTGTGTGGTTCATCTTTCTACAGGAAAGGGAATTTTATGGCTGCTCTCAGTGTGAACATTATGTGTTCTCTTATCCATACCTTACAAAAACAACTTTAGGCTGCTCACAAAGACACCTTCTAGGTAAAAAAAAAACATAATAAAAGATACAATTTTGCTCTGCAGGCAGCAGCTGTGGATGACATTTGGCACATAGAAACAAAAGCTATCTGGGCAGCTTATGATACACTCAGATTTGAAGTGTCAGTGCCTCAACAACCCCCTCTGCCCCTCCACATTCTCAGTTCATCCCATCTCCATCAAACCTGTCAGCTTTACTGGGAGGGTTCCACCTGCAGGAGTGATGCAAGGGGGAACCTGTGGCCATCAGGGTCCCCACCTTGGGTCTGCCCTGATTCTGGCTGGCCTTTGAGCAGTTCAGGGGAAATGAAAGTTTCTTCGCAGTGGAAAGGTGGCACAAAAGCAATTCTGAGAATTCCTCTTGCTATTGAGTTTCTCCTACAGCAGCAGCAGCAGTGCAGGGACTGATGGAGCAGAGCTGGAGCATCACTGAGCTACTGCACCAGGCCCCAAACAGGCAATAAAGAGAATTCACTTAGTGCCCAATTATTGCATCCAGTTTTCTTCTGTTTTGACAACATGGTCTGGAAAACACTGTGCAAGAAGGCCTTTTGCTTAAAGGCCAGGCAGGGTTTGGCTCTTTTCTCTGGTTTTCAGTGATGCTGGCCTCAAATTGCCTTGTTATTCCTGCCTCTAGACCAGTAATGATAATACCCTTACTTTTTCAAGCAGGTTGAGATCTTCTAATGAAGCATATTTTATACAGGCTTTATTAGAGTTCTTGTTTATAGGATATTATGATACACAGGGTTGTTGCAATGTGACTTCAGAATATGTAATGCAATTATTTGTGCTGAGTATAAATACAGTTAAGGCAATGCTATCTACAGTGGGAGAAAATGACATTATGTTGCTTTGACATTTACCAAAAAAGCCTCCTTTTTCTATATTGCATTTTCTGTGTGTCACTTGTGTTCTGCCTCAAAATGAAGGTAATGGATGAAAGAACAAGAAAAGCATTTTGATTTTATTTTCTAAAAACATAGATATTTTGTGTTAATAGGAGCTTTTCCCTTTGAAGCCAGGCTTTGCATCAGTTGTCATACACTTGCTAATCTTTTCTGCCATCATATTCAAAGGAAATTTATGAGGCAAAAAAAAGTCATTGGGTGAAGAAGACAAAAATTTATTTTTTCTTCTGGCAGAAGGGCTAAAAGATATAATTACTGCTTATCCTTCATGGACATCATCAGTATTGATAAATACAATTACATTGTTTGCTATCCCTGAACCAATTCTTAAGGCTTAGGCAAGTCAGCAGTGGAACAAATATGTTTAGCTTCTTATTAATAAGAAACAGAAATTGTCACTTAAATGCTTGATCTTACCAACACTTTCTAGTGTTTACCTTACTGTTAAAAAAGTTTACTGAAACCTGGCTGAAAGGCATCTTACAAGTTCATGGTGTGTTTCCAAAGCAGGCATGCAGCAGCTTAAACAAGGAAATTTCTGAAGCTGAAATCTTATTTTTCTCTTTTTGCAGGGATCCCCAGAATTTGTATCCCCCTGAGGTCAGCAATGCAAAGCTTCAGTATGCTGGTTGGGGTCCAAAAGGGCAACAGCTGGTAAGAGAAAAAACAAGTGTGCAAATGCCTTTAGAGACCATGCTGTTATTGCTTGGAAGTAAAGAAATAATAATTCCATTTTTGAATAGTTTCTTGAAGCCTGTGTGGTAGCTTCTAGCATTTATTTATGATTGTTCTATCATGTAATTTATTTATAAAATTCCCAAATATATCCATTCACCGCAAAGTAATCGTGTCTAAAAATGCAGAGAAAGAACACTTTATGAATGCTTTTTGAGAGGATGCACCTGCTTCTCCCAGTGTTGGACACAGGACAGATTATAGAGATAATAGACAGTTTGATTTATTTAGCATCTCATTGCTTCACAAGGGCATCTTCAGACTTGCAAACTTGGCACTGGGGATATGTTAATATTAGCAGCCCCTTTTGGAGGATGCATCTCTCTAGAACAGAGCTGCCCTGAATTTGCCCTGTGGTTGTTTGCAAAATAGACAGAATTAGAAGTGGATCCTGGAAAGTTTTCAGAGATGCTTAAAAAAAAAACAACCACACCACTTGTCAGGGATTCATTATATTTCATGGAGATATTCATACTGCAAAAATCTTAAAATCCCCAGTATTTTACCCCTCAGCCACTGCCATCCTGCATGTGCCCATTTTTCAGAGCCTGTATTTCCTGGCCAGATCCCCTGGCTTCATTTCCTGGTGCAAATCCAATATTAAGTTTTTCAATATTCCAAACATTCTCTTTTTACAATAACAAGAAATGAAAAAGTGGCAACATCTTTTTTTGATGTGGAAGCTTTATACAAGAAATGAGCTTTGAAAGCTCATAATAAGAGAAAATCTGGCATATATCTCCTGTTCCCAGTCCTCTCTTGGGGACTGTTTGTGTTCTTAACTAGATTGTTTTAACTTCTGTGATTAAAAAAAAAAAAACCAGCCATAGGAGTCATTATAATTGCAAGTCTGAAAATCAGGTTGGAGAAAATATAGCAGATACGGGAACAGGAAAATCTTTCCTCTGCTCCATCAGGAAAATTGTGTTTGAGAGTCATTGACTTCAAATCTGATCAGGGAGGAGAGTCAGCAGCCTTTACCACTGTGCAAAATGTCTTCTGAGGATCTCTTTGCTTTCATTGCACACAGTTGGAAGGGACCCCACACTTCATGCTGCTCCAATCCCCCACCAGGTGAAGGGAATTCCTTCAAGATGTAGCAAAGAAAGCCAAAACATTTTTTCCCTTCACTGCTCACTAGTTCCATTTTAAGTCTTACAGAGTTTCACCGTGTGTAACAAAAACTACATTTCCTATTTAAAATCCAGCATTGAGTGGCATTGGTCACATTCTCCACCCCACAAGTAGATCTTCCTTCCTTTAATAGAGTTTTGCTGTGAACTCCTGTGCCCTCAGCACCTGTGGTCACAGCTCCCTGCTGACTCTCCCATCCATGCTCGTTTTTCCACACACCTGATTTCCACCTTGGAAAGATCTAAGGATATTTGTTCCAAAGCCAAGGTGACCAATTGACTGCCTCCACTGCCTTCTCCACCAAAGCAAAGTAACCACACAGAAAGGAAAAATGTTCATACCAAAACAGACAAATTATATCTCCACCAGGAGAGTATACACAGTCCAGGAGAAGAAAAGTCTTTTTTACTCCCAGCTTTATCATTTAATGCTGAAGAGGCTGATACCAATTTCCACCATATTTTTTTTAAGCAATTTACAGTGAAAACTCAAAGCCCTAAGAATGCCTGGAGACATCAAGTTTCATGCATGTTTCTGCTGTGGGGTACATGCTATATATATTTTTGGCACCTTTAAAAACCCCTGTGGTTGTTGAATTCCATATGAATCTTGGAAAAATCTTGCAACAGTGAATTTGTTCTATGTGCCTTTTTTTTTTTTTTTGTCTTTTTTACTTCAAAATATGTAAAATTATTGGTCTGTAATTGAGCTCTGTTTCCTGTTCTTGCATTTGGAATCAGGGTAGGTAAGGAGCAGCTCACTGGTAGTTTAAGCATTATTTTTTCACACTTCTAACATATGTGCCTTTTTGCCCTTATCTTTGCCAGTCATTTACCCTGAAATAAAATTATAGCTGTAGTTTATAAAATAAAGATGCTTTTACATACATCAATATAATCTTTTTATATCTAATGATCATCAGAGAATTGCCAGAGGGGGGAAAAAAGAGCTTTTAAAATAAAAAAAAAACCCTACAAGAATAATAAATGAGATCTAGAAACACACCATGTTCAGTGCTCTGTATTTCAGGACTAATTGGGTTACTCAGAACATAATTGCCAGCAAAATTTGTGTCACTTTCTGTGGAGATGCAAAGACAGAGAAAAATTAAAGTCTATTAAAATTTGATAGTGGGAATGTGTTTGCTAAATGTACACTGAGTTGTGTTGCAGGAGAAGGAGGGAAAATATGTTGAGAGGGAGGGAAAGGAGCAGCTGTGAAGCACGAGTCAGCTGCCCTGGTTCCAGGAGCTTCCTGGGGGTGTTTGAGAGGGGTCCCAGAGCAGCAGTGAGGAGCCTGAGTGTGTCAGCTCTGGTGTGTCAGCCCCTGGGCACGGGCTCAATCCAATCCCCTGCTGCAGCTCCCAGGAAAGGTGGGAGCCAAGGGCGAGTGCATTTTGCATCACCTTGAAGATACCCCAATTTTCAGGCAATAAAAGAGCTTTCCCCTTGAAATCTCCTGGTTTGTTCTTTTTTGGCAGCATAAAGGAAAGGCAAGGCAGGAGAGTAAGAGGGCTTGGTTCCAAAATTTTTATTCTCTTTGAGGCTTCCATTTCATCCTTCCTAGGGGAACTTTGGGTTGCTGTGCCTGACCTCTTTCTCTCTTGCATGTCTAATCATTCAAAAAAGAAACAAATCCAAAATAGAAGGAGCCCTGAATGATCTGCATTCTCTGCAATTAAAAATATAGTGGAATATTCCCAGGAGCAATTTCTATTTATCTTGCTTTATTTTGTCCTTTCTCATTAAATTATATGCCAATTTTTGGATGATTAAGTCCTCAGAGCACGGTTCTTGACTTCTTCCTAGCCTGCAGAATGCCACACATGCCAGCTGAGCTCTTTAAATAATGGCAGATACTGGATCAGAGAAAATCTGTCAGAAGATCAGAATGCAAAAAAGCTCTCACTTCTGGCATCTCAGAAAAATGCTTCAGCTTTTCTCTGATCTCAGCCAAAGTCTTGACAGATTAAGTCTCACAAAGCTGTTGGAAGAATGGGGCCCTCACCAGTGTGAGCTCCAGAGTCATTAGAGAGTGCCACTAATTTCAAGAGGGAACACATTCCCTAAGTCTGGCTGTTAATAAAGGGCTCGTTCCTCTCATTTGTCCTACAGCATGAGTCATCATTTCTGCCCTTACAGAATAAGTGAAAAACACTGTTAACTTGGAATAGCTGTGTGATATATTCACTATTTGTGGGTGTAAATGACTATGCAAAATGCCTATGGGAAAAATCCATCCTTTCCGTGGTGCACCTGACAGCCCAAAGCCACACTTAGGATTCCATTTCATCAGCCCACTGGCCTTCAGCGTGATGCTTGGTGGTTTTTTAGTGAACAGACTGTACTATCCTCAGTTTGTGTGATGCTTTCCAGCAATATGAGGCTGTGGGTGGCATGACAGGACTGCAAAAAACTGTCATTCTGTACCTTTGTCCTGTTCTGGGTGTGCTTATCTGCACAAGAATCTTCACTCCTTGGAGTTCTTCTCTTTTTCTGATCATGCCATCTATGACTCAACAGCTACCCACTTCTGATTTTGCCACAAAAAAAAAAAAAAATTAAAAAAAATATAAAACCTTCTGTTAATTGATCTTAATGGAATATTTTACCAGTTTCACCATGTTCCATCTCATGTTCCAAGGCTCTGCCCACATGCCGAGAGCTCACGTAATGTTCCTGTGGCACATTTGCCCCAGCAGTATCTAAGAAAAGGTTAATGGTGCCTGTGATCCTGAGCTCAGCTTGGTAAAACTTGTGTGCCTGGCAGGCCTGGACCTGTCTATTCATCAAGAAAAGTGAGTGCAGAGTGAAGAAGTTTCCTCTACTGCTTTCCTTGGCAGCATAGCCCAAGTCAGGGAGTGCTCCAGGAGTGAGATTGTCCAGTGCACGTCTTTAACTGAGGTGCTTAAGGAACCCAATAAACCCAAAGCTTTCAGGAGGCTTTCACCTAAGTTATCCCCAAATAAGCACATCCAGGTTCGAAGTATTTGCATTAAGGACGAGCTAGGAATATCCATGGGCCCTGCTGCCAAAAGGAAGGAGGAAATTGGAGGCTGCTCTAATAAAATGCAGTGAATATTTGTCTGCATTGACAGCACTAAATACAGTTCACAGGAGCTGTTAAACTCCAATATCAAAAGCAGAAGCACTTCTGTTGTGCTGCTATTTTCTCTTTTTTTTCAAATTCAGAATCTGTAACCATCCTGACAGATATTAATGGTAACGGTGACACATCAGATGCTGGGAGAAGCAGTTTTGCACAACTTTAGAGGCAGCACTTATAATTCTAAAAACATCTCTCTCATAGATCATGGTATTTATTCTTCTACAAAGAGAAACTTTTTTTTGGGGGGTTCTCATGACCAGTCAGTTATTACTGTTTACACAGTTTCTTTAAGTACCAAAAACATACAGAAAGCAGATTGGGGTTGCTGGAAGTTTTGTATGTCCTTGCAGCCCCACAGAAGGGTCAAAACAGATTTTTCCTGCATTCATAGGAAATAAGCCTTTTTCAGTGTCAACTCTTTTTGGAGCAGGAACTATCTCTTATGTTTGTAGATTGTGCTGCAATCAAGTTTATAATTGGTTCTAAGGTAACAGGAGTTAAGTTTCACAGCAGGTGCAGAAGATGCAATAAGAAATCTCTATTTCAGGGAAATGCAAATGCCAGGCAAAAAATATGGAATGATTCTTTCAGCCCCTACCATGTTAGGGGTTTGCAGGTGTCTTCAAACAGTGAATGATGATGCTGGTAAACAACTTATTGTCATAAATATTGCTGTT